TGTAATTTAAATACAGTCTCAACACACGTTTTACCTGCATTTCCCCAAACTTCTGCACAGTAAGACAAATAAGGCATAACTAAAGAGCTATAAATTAAAAACATGGCTTTTTTATTTAGTACATCACTAGTTTCATAAAGTATAGCAATAGATTTAGACACTTGCCATTTGATATATTCGATATGTGGTTTCCAACTGAGTTTACTATCAATAATCACACCTAGGAATTTAGTTTCATGTACTTGTTCAATTGGGACTCCATTTAAATACAGCTTAGCACCGTCATTGTCCCTGTTCCCTGAAAATATCATAAATTTGGTTTTATTTTCATTTAGTGATAGCTTGTTGTAATCAAACCATTTTTTAATTGAACTCAATTCGTTTTCAACCTCTTGTAATAATTTACTCATATCTTTTCCCATACAAATGAAATTTGTATCATCTGCAAACATAATAAATTTTAACTGAGACGATACAGAAAATATGTCGTTCAGGTATAGGTTGAATAATTTCGGTCCTAGCACCGAGACTTGCGGTACACCACATATTACTCTTTCAAGCTGTGAATCTATATCATTAACATTTACATATTGAAATCTACTGCTTAAATAACTTTCAAGCCATTGATTGGTTTTACCACGAAGAAATTGAGAATTACAAGTTAGAAAACTAAAGTTACAAGTTACGAATCCAAAGTTACGTCATGAAAAATGTTCCAAGTTACAAAACTTGGTACAAGTTACATTGAATATTGTCCCAATCCTAGCTCCATAAACTCTATGCTTTCTGGTATCTCATAGAAACTCCTGCAGAAACTACAGCTGGAACAAAACTCTGCAGCTCACGTTATCACCAAGTTTTCACAACATCTTACACCGGTTCTCGCTGAGTTGCACGTTTGGGATGACCAGAACCCTTCCTAGAGCAGGCCGTCCAGCCAAACTGAGCTACCGAGCTATAGTGTTTTACATTTATGTATTGTTTAAAGACAAATGATTTATGGTTTGAGCAAACATGAATATGATTTAGTAAAAGAAGGGGAGTCTTTCCTGGAGGGCCGGTGAGGTAACCAGAAAATTTTGTAGGGTTAGGGTCAAGTTGTCAAGGTTTGAACACATTTATTTGCTAATCTCCAAAAACATGATGTTTATGTGTTCTAATGACTTAAGTTTGTTTGTCAAAGGCAATAATTGCTTAACAAAACATATCAGGTTTCTTCACTGTTCACTCAAACTGATCACGCTCAAGTTTCAGTCTAATTTTCTTGCTTTACCCTCCCACTGTCTAATAAGGTGACCCCACCAGGAAAGTTGACCATTGAGCAGGATTGATGGTTTATCTCTCGAGGTCCATGTGGCAGGAGTGAGGTTGTACTCACTCACCCCTGCCATGTGGACCTCAAGCGATAAAACATCAACCCTGCTCAATGGTCAACTTTCCTGGCGGGGTCACCCGATAAGACAGTGGAAGGGTTTAGAGTGAGTTTATTTGGTGAAACCTTGTCTTTCTTCCATGCATGTTTGCTCTAATACATTCACCACAGGTCCCTGATTTTTTGAAGAAGGTTCATCTGTTAGAAAGTAATTTTTTCCCAATCTATACAGTGTGCCCACCCATGTTCCAAACACACTTTGTCCTGTTTGGAGTTGGAGGAGTGCTGGAAGCTTCCTCGGCTGTCATCAGGCAGCAAGCAAGGGGAAACCCTGTGCAGGTTCCCCCACAGAGCCAAAATACACACAATTAGATGAATTTTCATACCTGTTTCCTCAGTCTCTTCCTTTCGTTTCCACCCTTATAGGCTCACAAAAAGAACAAGCTCCACACAACTCATCAGTGTCGCAGGGCAAAGAGGTGTTTTTCAAATCAACAAAATCCAAAACCTTTCAGTAAAAGATTTCTAATTCTACAGATAATTTCATTATAAATGTCCACAAAGATGGTTTAGATGCCTGATAGGATTTATTTTAACATTAAAACACATTGAATAAAAGCATAACTGTCGTATTTATGATAAATGACTAGTAAGGCTATTATAACCAGAAGAAATCTCTATTGTGATAACTGTGTCAGCACAGTGGTCTGATTATATAGTAAAGTGGCCTGCCACAGTTGACCCACTTGTTCATTATAATTCCTTTCCCACCATTTCTGTAAACTGGCCTACATCACACCAGTGCCAGCTGGTATTCAGTTCAGGTCAAATTATCCATCCAGTCTCCTTCAGAAAAAACCAAAAACATAAAGCAGACCAAACTGATGTTTTGTTGAGAAAATAAAATAAAAAGTAACCACAGCTTGGTGAAAATAACAATTAACAATCGCTAAAAACGACCAAAACACCAACAAACCATATGTATTGTGCAGTTTAATAAAGTTAAAGCATATTGTGCAGATAAACGCTGTTTAATTTTTATTGTTATAAAAAATACCCAAACAACATTAATTTTACTTGATTTATTAAAAAAAGATCAGTTAATGGTTCATTACACAGTAAATATTTGAGTTTAAGACAACTAATGACCTGTTTCTGGAGCTCAGACGAAAGTAAACTTAAGACGTGTATTCAACTATTTACACTATAAATACATCAACATCAGTTTCATACGTGTAAATAAAGACTTAACATCTTGTTGTACATAATATTAAAGGTGATTATTGTATAATATTCATTTATATTTGCATACAGTAAACACAAAACTGTGTACAGTTGACTGCTTTTGAGTTTGCAAAATGGCCGAGATAACATGAAGATGTAAACATTTGCTTACAGAGATCAGCTGACATCATGTCATCCTAACTGCTGCAACCTTTAAATGGACTAAAACATCTCTGCAAATTCAAACACGTAGACATCACCATGAAAAAAGACAGAGTCTGACTCTGAGTCACATTCAGACAACAGCTGAGCAACTTTTAAGACCAGTTATGAGAGGAAGCTGACTACACTCTTGTGCATGCAGGAACACACACAGAAAAGTTCCTGTCAACAATCCAGTTATATCTTCTTCTGCCTGAATACAGACTGAATTTAGAAGTGGCCAAACGCAGATGCGGTGCTGACGTGGTGGAGCAGCGCCATCTCGACAGCTGGAGCTCTAATAGATGTGGTCGCAGATCTATAAGATAGGATTCAGCTGAAAAATGTGGCCTGTTTCGTACCACAAACAGCGTCAATCAACAGCTGAATCATCGCTCAGGAAGTGCTGCTTCTCTTTCTGGTGTGTGGCCTCCTCTTCAGAATTTCCTCCTCTTGGTCGCTTTCACAGTCCCTCTGACAAAAAACAACACACTGCCTCAGGAATTAAACTAGCTGCACGTAGCTACTTTAAACAATAGTTTAGATCTTAAAAAGTGGCATTTTGAAAAGAAAAAAAAACAATATCAATTGATCTCTTGTCTGTTGGAAATAGTGTTATGGGGAAACAGCTGAGCTAAAGGCTAGCCAAAGCTAATCCATAGTGGATTCCAGCCACATTTCATGCAAGTAAATATTTTAATTCAAGGGATATTCCACCAAAAAGTGAAAATGGGACTATTTTATGACAAAGCACAGCTGCAATCTGTATCACTACAGAGTGATTTTAAGGACATTTTTCTCACAATGCTAGTTGGTTCCATTCACTTACTGTTTTTTATGCTAAGCTAAAGCTAAAGGCGTACAGCTGGGTCAGGAGGATTAGGATGGTTACTAATTGTTTTTTCCCCATTAATCCAACTCTGTGAAATATGTCAACACACAAAAGTTCACTTTTGAGTGGAATATCCCTTTGAGTGAAACTCTGCCATAAATTAAACATTTGTCAAATATTCCAACAGAAATATTAGTAATATTTTGACTGAAAGTGTCACATAGTTTAGTGCAAATACTACAGTGACTTCTGTAGACCCAAAACTACATTCTACTGCAAATAAACTTAATATTCAATCTCAATGACTGTCTGGTGCTAAATGTGCAACCATAGGCTTATAAATAACATTCAAATGAACCATTTATGTGTCTTTTTTAGACTGGAGGGGTTTTCGGGTGTGCTACAGCTCCTGTTGAGTCCGTTTGCTATTTAAAACAGGTAAGATATTATTACTTCCTAGATTTTACAGAGCTACACCTCAGGTCTGATGTATCTCTAGTACTTTTCTGTTTTGTTTTTAAAATACAGCTAATATCTTGATAACAAAATACATTGTATACTAACATTGGAAAATATTCCAAAGTAATACTTAAAATATTCCTTTAAAAATCATTGTTTTGCGATTGTTCAGATCCATTTATAAAGGATACACATAGGAGTTTAAAAGGAGGTATAATGATTAACAGCCACCATTATAATGAACCCGTGTTTATCCCGAAATAGAAAATCCAACATAACAGTTTTCCTGAATCAGTAATCAAATTAAACTTGTTTAAGTCACTGTTCTCATTCAGCAAAAACACATTGTTTACATGCATTACTTTTTGTTTCAGATTAATGAAGCAACAGCATAATTATAGGTGGATTTATTGTGGATTAGGCTTTACTCAGCGGGCTTTAGAGGCACCAGCAGACAGATTTGATCACCTTCAAGCATAGGCAGGAGAACTGTGGAATTCTGTTCCCAGTCTTTCTGAGAATCGAGGCTTTCCAGCTGCTGGCTGTATAATTATTACACGGAGTGGAGATCATCAGCAGAGGTCTGAACTTGTAGCAAGGATATTCAGATTCCTCAAACTACAGCTGCTGAACCACTGCAGCTATGTTTTGCTCTTACCCCATTCTCTTCAGGCAGATTCTGGCCTTTCTTCATGATCCTTGTTAAGTGGTTGCACAAAGCCACAATTCTGAATGAGAACTGTAGAACACAAAAACACACGTGACAAGGAAGAAGTCATAAAATCAGTCAGGAGTCTGAATCTGCTGTTTTTTTACCTTCCACCTGCGTCTGGCGTACTGTCTCTTAAAGTTCTCCAAGTTGACCACCGACAGCCTCTTGACCATGGCCTGTCTGGAGTTCAGAGGCTGCAGACACACACAAGAGAATGGCATGGCAAAGACAGAGCAAATAACTAATATTGTAACCTTTAAACACACATTAGGACAAATCTAGAGGTTATTTTCACATTAGAAAAAAAATACTCCATGAAATCCATTCATACAAAGAATCTGGAAACAGAGAACACGATGCATAAAGTTTATTTGAGTTGACAAAAACGAGTGCACAGATCAGATAGACCAAGAAAGGAAGGAAGTGAGATGTTTATTTACAGATACGATTGTTATCATACGTGATGGTCGGCTTCAAAACATCTCTACGTTAAAAAAATGGGCCAAATAAACTAATTTAGCCTTAAAGGTGCACATTTACGTTTAATAAAAAAAGAAAAACATAAAGTAAACTGTCTGAAAACAGAATAGCCACCACTGAAATAAATAATAACAAATAAAACACAAAGTCATAGAATAAAAACAAAAAGAATCAAAAAAATTTGAGTCTTCAAATATTTTCTAATTTTAAAAAGTGCCTGTTTGGTTTAAATGAATTGAAATAAATAAATATTTATTTTCTTCTGACTACAAAAAATAGCTAATGCTGTTAGCAATATATAATATATGATTATGAAAGTGCCGACTGTCATCGTGCAAAACCAATAAAACCATTACTTCATTTAATGCTACTACTGTCAGATTCACGTGGGTACTGTTGCACGTTGAGTTTATTAAAGACAAAAATCATTTTCAGCTTCTTTCTTTAAAGGGAGACTAGGAAGTTTAGGCTTGATTTTAGCACCCCCTAGTGTCTGTTTAGTAGAACCAAAACGCATCTCCTCGCTGTGCGTTTGCCATTTTAACACCTTAATCTAACATCTGAAATGTCTCCACAGCCTTCCTTGGTGTCTACAGGAATGATTCATCACTAACTTAAACAAATCAGCTGTGATCATAATCTAAAACAAGCAGGAAACATACTGGAATCAGACTGCAGCGCCAGCTTTGTCAGCTCAATCTTTTCCCAAGTCCAACAGACCGGAGTTGCACTCTGAAGTTGCAAATGTGATATTTTGGCCACAGAGGGCAGTGGGGGTCTGAGTGACTTTTCAATAACCCTGTAAAGGGTTATTTCAGCACACACTGACTCCAGAAAATGATTTAAAAATATGAAGTAGCATAGCATCCCTTTAACTTGACAAATCAAGAAAGTGTTTTCTCCTGTTCCTATGCTAATAAAGTGCCGTTGACACTGAAGAAATTAACTGATTGATTAATTGCTGAATGTCATCCAGACTATTTGAGAGCCTGTTTGGTCTCTGGATGGAGTTCAGCTCTGCAGGACTGATGCAGCAGTTCCATCATTGCCTTCTTCACGTTCGTACTTTGGAAGCCATCGTTGGATCCGTCAGGATGCAGAGGACCAATCAGTTCCTGCAGCCAGTGCAGCTCAGAGTTCAGCTCCTGCCTCAGGGCGTCCAGCTGGCTCTGCCTTTGGTTAAACTTCCTACTGATGCTTTCCACACTAATATCCAAAGCCTTGATGTCCTGCTGCAGCAGCCGCCTGCTTGTCTCCACGTTATGAATCTCGTAGCATGTCTGAGAGAGCTGTTTCCTCACAGCATCACTCTCCTCCTTGCACCGGGCCTCCTTGTTGTTGTAGATGGAGATCAGTGCTTCTACGTCACATTGCAGGGTGCGATTAGCCCCTGACACCTCTGATAGCTCCGCCTCCATAACGCCGATGTGCTCCACCACATGTGCAAATCGCTCAACGTTAGCATACGTGTTGTTGTGGAGCACGCTGGCGTGAGACTGAACTGTGTACTCTTTCAGACGTTTGGTCTGTAGCGTCTCGGTTTTCATCTTGGCACCAGACGTGGCTGCTTCTTCCTCCGTGTGGTTGCAGGACTTCAGACATAAGGGTGAAGGAGGTGGGGGGAGGGAAGGGGGGAGACTGTGTGAGAGGCTGTCTCTTTGTTGCATCTTGAAAACACAAATTGTGATGAAACTCCCAGTGGACGAGCCACTGCGGGGGGGTTAGTGGGTGACCCTTGGCCACTGAAGACGCAAAAAAATAAAAAAAACACGGCAAGCATTCTTGATGAGTGCGTAATGTTTCCTGGCCTCATGCTCGAATCCAAACAGGATGAGGACTTCACAGCAAAACACCTTCTACATGCATTAGAGCAGCCATTGTGAGCAGACTTCCTCCACATTCCAGATTGGTACGAATCCATCGCAAAACACGATTAGTGAGACCTTGCTCCATTTCAATCACATTTAGAGGAAGAGACTTTTATTTTTGGATGGAGGGAGTGAAATAAATACCCCCAGTGGATGAAAACTCTGGGACTTTGAGACTTACTGTATTTCAAATATCTGTGATCATTCTATCACAGATCTGCCTCCCATGTGATAAATGACCCTGCTGAAGGCCCGTTACCTCTGACAGCCATGTTTTGGTTTCTAACTAGACACAATGTGAATGGCACAAAGCATGCTACAGCACAGTTTAAATCAAGAGCATACCTTAATCCACGGGTGATTCAGGGCACCCTCTATCGTCATCCGTTTTCTAAAACGACAGGACAATGCAGCTGAGTAAGCAGAACAAGTAGGTCTGTTGTTCATTAGGATTCGAACCTCTGAGGGATTCAGTCCCATGTAATAATCTCAAGAATATTACGTTTCATGGAGGTGAAATAAAACAAAAACATGTGTGAAACACAATAAAACAAAGACTGTTTTGTCTAGATTAGTGTATGTTACTGATTTTAGTGAATCACAATGGTTGTGTATAACAACAGAATCTAAATCATTCATCCTGACCGGGGGTCTGCAACCTGTGGCTCCTTGTAACTTTTACCAAAAGAGACAACTACTAGAGTAATATTTCTATTTAACTTCCCATGGCATTATAGTTTAGCTACTCTAGAAATCTGGATAAATGACTTGGCTCTGCTCGCTGGTCTAGCCACGCTCCATCGTAGCCTTACAGGTCTACCCTTGGCTCTGGCAATCACAACGCTCTCTGTTTATAGAGAGATGTTGGGCAGGCTTAGCACCGTTTCGACAGAGCTGCAACTGCATCAAAACAACAAAGATGCTGCTCTGGAATGGCGCTAGCTTTGAAATCAACGCTGGACGATTTAGAAACACGAGCAGATAGAGGCACTTCTTTTTCTTCAACGATGTATGGCGGACTGCCCCTTTGATTTTTGTAGCTATGAGCACATCGCGTTGGTCGTTTCTCTGACTGGTCCAAGCATGCAGACACTTCTAAAGACCAACCGTAGATTCCACCTCTACGACTGTGCTCTGTCTATAGGTCGTGACCAGACTATTCCAGTTTTAGCAGTTTTATCATCTAAATTCTACCAAGACTACAGATTTACACTATAAACGATTTAAAAAATGTTGCTTCCATTGTTTTGCTACATGTGGACCAGTTTATTAGTTTGCCCCCATATTTTACACATTTGAGCCACATTTCTGTAAAAGCTGTTTTGCACATTATTAGATTTCATTAAACTAAGACATCAAAATATGACATAATTTTATTACACAGCAAGCCATTTTATAACAGAGAGAGATAACCTGAAACAAACACAATATATTAGTAGAACCTTATTAGTGGTCAGTTTAAAGTTGCATTATGTAGAAATTAAGTAAAAATGTCACCCTGTGGTAAAATGTGTTACTGCAACCACTTTAAACAACTCTGGAGCTTTTTACCGGCCGTCGTCAAATTACAGTTGTCGGCGCTGCGGTATTAGCTCACAGGAGACACGACAACCCCGCACTCACTGGTGGTAAACAATAGTTATGTCCCTCCTCCTTTTGTTTTGAAAGCAGAACAACTGATAATCCTCACAGCCAGCTGGATATGAAATATGCTTCAGTATAAAATATCTAATGACTGAAACCTTAAGCCTGATTTATGCTTCTCCGTCTGCATCAGTGCGGAGCACACGCAACGCCATTATCCGTCCTTGCGTAGGGATCCGGCAGTCATGCAAGTACGTACAGAGTCGAGCCCACTTTTTTAAACATCCGTCGAACGAAACGGATTACGCAAGCTTGTGATTGGTCAGGACGCCGCTGTTGTTTACAGCGCCGCCATTGCAAAGAGAGCCGAGTTCAACTAGCGGCAGACACGGAGGAGCTTGAAGAATACCTCGTGAAAAAACTCTAAAAACATGAACGTTTCATTCTCCTGTGACTGGAGGAGTGAAAAGATGCGCAGCAAGCGTTTTATTTGTGGACGGAAATGACAGGAAACGTGGGTTTAGAGGTGGCGAGCGCATGAAGCGGTGGGAGAATGAGAGACAAATATGTCCGTGTTAAAAGTCTCTTATATACACAAAAAACACAATATAAACACACGATCTTGGACCGATACATGACATGATACCACAGAACAGCGCTACGCCCTCTGTTGTCCTGCCGGGCAATTGCTTTGCAACACTCTCCAGGAGACGGAGAAGTATGAGAGCAAAACGCTTCCGTCAATCCGTGCGTGTCTGTCCCTTGCGGAGCTGACGGAGAAGCATAAACCAGGCTTTAGACTCTTTTGCAATTTTCTCACTATTAAATTCTCACTATATTCTTACATACTGCACCTTTAATTTATAATATTTTTTTTATGATGACATTAAATTGCAAATCAAGCCTTGCTGATCTCAATTGGATAACAACAAATGTGCAGAACTGGTAAAGCTCTGCTTTGTTCTGAACAAGAAAAAAGCAGTTTTCTTGAATAGAATAAAGAAGTGTGTGTGTGTGTGCGCTCGCGCGGGTGGAGGGGGGCATAACATTGGGACACTAACACATAATTTAAAGGGTCAAGTTGATTTTGTGACTCTATTTTAATGATATTTAATAGGAAGATGGATGCCGATCGCACCTGATCTAGACTACATTTGCTTTTTAGTGTAATGATCATTACCAAATAAAAATATCAGACATATTTGTATTTATTGAGTTTTTTTATCGGGCTTGATTTTTGTCTATTTGTTGCTTTTCTATTCTTTTACCTTGTGTCTTTCTCCAGAAGCTGTCTGATGAAGCTCTTGGCCAGCTCACTGGTACTGCTAAAGAACTCCTCATCAAATTCGTAGCTCACAGCTGAGATATTAGCCAATGTTTCTTGTTTTGTGTCACCAAGAAAAGGAGATGCTCCGCTCAAACTGCAAATAAATATATAAATAAAGCACAAACATACTAATCAAGACCCACTTTCTGCTAATTCTCTAATCGTGCATTGTTCCAACTTACAGAATGTAAGTGATGACTCCGATGCTCCTGTGAAAAACAGCACAAGTTTAACCACCAGGGGCGGGCTGGACAGCCCAGTCAGAGGCAATCAACGACTCTTACCACATATCTGCTTCCAGTCCTAGCTGTTCATAGTTGACAATCTCTGGAGCTGAAAACAGAAAAACCCCAACTTCACCAAAACTGCACAAACTAAAAAACAAGTTATTGGCACAAAAACTTACCCACAAATTCGGGCGTGCCAAAAATGTTTTTGAAATCTGCCCCTGGCTCTATTTTCTGTGCCAGTCCAAAGTCTATGAGCTTAATGCGTGGCAGAGGGGCGTTCCTGTCCAGCAGCATGATATTCTCAGGCTGATGCACAAACATAACACAGAAAAAGGTGGATGGGTTAGGAGATTTCTATTAAAACATTAATAAAGTAGTTGACTGAATTTACCTGCATAAAGATGCCTTTGTGTACGCATTTAGGAGAAAGAATACTTTTTATTTACAATGCAAACAAACAGAAATGCTGTTATAGTTTTTAAATTATTATTTCTGGTCTACAAGAACTTGCCAAGAAATGTGTGGACCTCATGATTTGATGCTTTTCCAGAGACGGGACCAGCACAGATTAGCTGAAATGTAGTGACTGGATACAATTTTTGGGTCAAATTCTGCAAATATCTCATGTTCCACAAGCAGGTCATTCTTTGTGGTCACTTGAAGATATTTCAGTGTTTTACAGAGTTATTTTTCCGGGGAGAAAAGCAAAAAGGGGCTCAAATCAAATATACCACTTTAGGATCAGGAAAATAATTAAATCTCAAAACTTTTTGAATAAATCAATAAAAAAAATAAGCCATCTTTTGGTTAGAAGGGTGAGATTAACAAAGAAATGTATAAAATGACAGAAACAGCTTTTTTAATAATGAAAAAAGCTCGACCAATGGCAGACGAGTAAGGACTTTCACGCTGCTGCCTTATTTGTTTATTTTGAAAATGACACTCCTGCCAGAAGGGCCCCAGGCTGCATAGGAAGTGCTACAGCAGGGTTTTTTTTATCAGAAACATGTGCAAAATGTAAATGAGAGCACCGTAAAGTTTTATGAAAATATTTGCACTAAGTAATTTGAATTTAGCCTATCAATAGAATCAGAATGAACCAGTTTATTTAAGCGTAGGCCATTCAAAGGCTTTAACGCTTGACCTTTCCATAGGAACTCACTTCTAAAGACCACATGTAACGCTTTAAGCCTGATTTATACTTCTCTGTGAGCTCCGCAACGGAGAAATGCACACAGAGTGTTGGAAAGGTTTTCACATGCAAACTTCTGTGCAGGCAGCGGAGTGCTGCAAAGCAATTCCCCGCCAGAACAACAGAGGGCGTAGCACTTTTCTGTGGTATCCTGCCACCATTACATTCATGTATCCAGTTCACGATAGTGTATTTACAAATGTGTTTTTATTTTTCAGAGACTTTGTAACACAGTCAAATTTGTCCTTCATTCTCTTCCACCTTTTAACCCACGTTTCACATCAATTCCGTCGACATTTGCTCCGTATTTTGTTCTCCTTCAGTCACGAGTGAATAAACATTTATATTTTCGGTCTTATCTCCCGATGCGTTCTTCAATCTGTTCTGGGTCTGCCACTAAATATCTGTTTACTTTCTAACGGAGCTACAGCGGTGCTGGTGACGAGTTTACAGGAAGCGGAGTCCTGACCAATCACAAGCTTGCAGTCTTCGTCACTTTCAACAGATGTTTAAAATTGTTTAAAATTGTCCCTGCGCCGACGCATAACGGTGTTGCGCCTCTCTGCGCCGACGCACACTGAGAAGCATAAATCAGGCTTTAAGCTTCGCTTGATCAGATTTTCCTGATTCCTCGAGAGTTTGTTTGCAATCACAGAAATTGACTTAACTTGATTTTAGCAGATGATTTACAACAACAGAAGGTGGAGTTACCAGTGAATGTTGTAAATGATTTCAACTATTTAAACCATTATGTCTCACAGTGACTAAAATCCAAAAGGCCACCTGGATGTTCGTCTACACTGTAAAAAACGAAATGTTGAGTTTCACTAACCAAGTTATGTCAGCTGGTTCCACTAAACATAGTTGCTTAAATGTAAAGAGTAGTATCTGTTGTATGTTATGTTAAAACTAAATGTACATCACAGGAACCAGTTGGCACAACTTAGTTAAGCAACAAGCAGCATTTCATTTCTTACAGTGAGGAGAGGCTATGGTAAGTTTGTATGAATATAATGAAACACAACTCAAGCTGTAGAGGAGAATAAGTTATAGAAAGTATAAAAAACACCTCTTTTACTTTAATAGTTAATGTTAGGGCAGAAAACAGTCATTTATCTCTTTAACCTGTTACAGTGGCTGAAAGTGGAAATGCAGAACTTTCATTTCAAATAAATTTCAAAAATCTTTGGGAACAAAAATAGATTTTTTTGTTTTTACCATAAAGCTTCTAGAATGTCATCAAGGTTAACTCTGACCTGCAGGTCAACCGCTTGGTACAAGTCTAAGTATTATTGGATGAGTTGCTAAACAAAAAAAAAATCATAAAAATCCATGGAAGTCAAATATAGTTACTTTGCAGCATTATTACTTTAAAATTAATACTCTTTGATTATTTTTATAACACAAATAGCTTATTATTATAAGTGGGTGTGGAGTTCTTGGGTTAAAAGGTCCCTGCTAAATGACTAAATGTAGAACATTAACGAAGCACTGGACACACTCCAACAACTGCATCTGCTGGTTAGTGCAGCACTGATGGTCAGAGAAGATTTTAAGCATCTATTGGTGCACAGATCGGTTTTTAAACATAAAGTTGAGTCCAAGTGAATCTGTTCTCTCTGTTCTTCCAGGAGAGAAGAGGAGAACCTTTCACACGCCTGTGTGGGCGACACGCTGCTCTCTAGAGGAGAGGAGATAACCTTGTGGTGTCGTTATCTGACAGTCTGAATGTTTGCCACAAAACAACAGGAAAGACGCGGGAATTAGAACGAGATAGTTCCCTTAGAAACACCAGATACCTGCTGATGAATGTGTTTGAGTTCAATTCAGTTCAACACACTTGGATGGAGCGAGTTGTACCTTCAAGTCAAAATGTGCAATGTTCTTGGAGTGGAGGTATTGGACCCCGTTGAGGATCTGCTTGAGGAACTGAGTGGCCTCCTCCTCACAGAGGGACTCCTTCCGGGCCAGGAAATCAAACAGCTCTCCTCCGGAGACCCTGCAAGCACACACACACGCACACACACACGCACACACACACACACACACACACGCACGCACGCACGCGCACACACACGCACGCACGCACGCACACACACACACACACACACACACACACACACACACGCGCGCACACGCATGCGCACACACACACACACACACACACACACACACACACACACACACACACGCGCGCACACGCATGCGCACACACACACACACATACACACACACACAGATAGATGATAGAGCCAGGCTCCTCCACTCTAATCTAAAGTGTGTTCTATAGTGGACACACGGGACCTGCATGCCCTAGATGTAACATGTTTGTTTGCTGTTTCACCTCAAGCCTCTTCTGGGACATTTATCCTACTTTTTAATCACCCATTTTCACCCTAAATCTAATAGAATTGTAAAATGAATCCTTTAAAAAAAGCTTGATTGAGACAATGTGCATGAAAAGTATTCACTCTTACAACAATTGGTTTTACTTGTTCTAATTGGACCCTCGGCATTCCCAGGCCTAGCTGGACCTAAACGGGGGCCTCTGAGGGACAAGCATTATTTGGTTTGGGAGAAACGTTTGGTTCTATCCCATCCCTCCCAACAAAGGTCAGCGCTTTAGCAAACACTGCATGTACACAGAAATGAAGTGTTCAAGGTCACTAGTTTCCACTCCCCCAAAAGTGATTTTTTTATGGACTAGATTTTCGTTTCGTGCAAAAAAGTTTTTATTTATTTATTTATAAAAAGTTGTATTTTGTGGGATCTTGCAGGGACTCACAGTTCAAGGATCAGCACCACATCGGTGCGGTTTTCGAATACGTCGTGCAGCTCTACAATGTTGGGGTGCTGGATCTGCTGCAGGATTTTCACCTCCCTCTCGATCTCCTCTCTCTTCACGCCACGTCTGCTGATCAGACTGTGACGCTTCTTGATGAACTTGGCTGCAAATGCGGTGCCGGTGCTCTTCTCTTTGCAACGTTTGACAACTGCAAACTGTCCACTGCAGACACAAAGGAAGAAGTTGTGATTGAAGACTTGCTGGCGTTGTTAATTTCACATTATTTGCATGTCATGTTGAGGATTTTGCATCATTTTGTGAAACAGGATGTGAGAGGACGCACTGGAGAGTGTGACCAAACGTCCTCTTTCCCCCGGACATGTCCACTTTTCACTCTCTGTTTGGGGAGGTTTTGATCAAAATGTCCAGTTTTTCATCCAGGAGCAGGGATCGAATTATGGGGGGCTAGATATCTTTCAGGGAAAGATCCAGTTTCTGCCTATATTACAATATTTATGGACTCTCAGCGTAGCGGGATTCTGTTGAGCGGAGAGGACGCAGAGCACTGATCGTTGGTGCGCCCGCTGCGTCCGGCGCACGATACATTCTCAAGGTGGTGCAACAAAACATTATTATTAACACATGATCATTCATATGTTTCCCCTGGTACTCTGTCTTTTAATCGTTCCTGACGCGCTCCACTCATTGTGTGCTGCGGTGATTTCACCTCACTGATGCAGCATCGAAACGCGTACTACGCTTTGGGGTCAGGAGATCCCTTTGATCTGCGTAGTTCAAAAGTAACTGATGAGGTGAAAAAGCAAGAAGCCAGGCAGCAGTTTTTCTGGAGAATTTAGAGGAGATAAATGAAGATGAGAGACAGATAGGACAGGAAAATAGTCCAATGAAAACAAGAAAACAAAGCAAAGTGTTTGAAAGTAAAATGTAGGTAGATTTATCTCCAGTACACGTTTTATAAAACAATAAGTTATACACATGTAATATGTGTAGAAAATGCAGCAGCTTATCATATATATAACATATAACAATTGATACAAATCAGATGATCTGAATCAGATCACCTTCAAAACTCAGTCACACACCCAAGGCCGTTTGAAGGTATTTAGGAGGCCAAGGCTAAACGGAGCCCCCCCCCCACCCCCCCCCACCCCCACCCCCCGCCACATATCCAAGCTCCTCCAGTGTGATCACAGGTTGTTCCCGGGCCAGCCTGACGATCCCGTGTCAAAACTGTTTGAAATATTGTAGCTCGGTCCATTATTCCTGTTTCCCGGCGAGACAGAAGACACTCAACAGCTGATCGTGAGGACAGAGCCTACTCCCACTTCATCAAACTTCCTGCCAAATGTTTTTCCATCTCCCAGAATTTAGAAAGAATCCCAAAAGCTCTGAATATTTCACAGCAGAGGTGCAGCCTACTACAAAACAACTGGATCTTTGTGTGCTTGTTTTATTGCTCACAGCTGAACACTTTCCTGTGTGGCCACTTGGACCTAAATAAGTCATGATTGCCCCACAGATAAGAGTAGATCATAAATAGGAAAACATTTTCTAACTGTAACAAAGTTATCAGAGCAGCTCATTTCTTCCTAGACTTAACTAAAACCTGCTGCTGCTGCTGCTGCAGCTTGACCTTCCCCCTCTCCACCATCAGACCAGGAAAACTCCCATCGTTATATTGCAAAAACATGCCAAAATAGTAAATGGACCTTGTCAGGAAAATGCATCTTTTAAAGATGGGCTGAGTCATTAATTGTACTCCATCATTAGACATTTAATGTGCGTAACCAAAAAAATCCTTTAAAAATTCCTGAAAGAGACCCTGAGAGGTACGTTAGCTCATTCTTAAAGACATCAGAAACCTTTTTATTACTCAATTATACATGATTAGAAGTTAAAGATGGGGTACATTGTATAAAATGTTTATAGTAACTTAAAAAACTAATAAATTTTAATAATCTGATCCTGTTTTATTATTAAAAAGCAGGTAATTCTTCATTTCTACTTCCTGAGTCCCTCCCCTGGCCTCTACAGCAAAACCAATCATTTATGCGAGCCTAGAGCGGTGACCAAAAGATTTGCGTATCACAAGCGAGAGCTGTCAATCAATGAAAATGCAACCCAGTTCCCAGCATTCATTACGGGGTGACGCAAACGTGCCTCAAGTCTGATTTATACATTTCCGTCAGCTCTGCAAGGGCGAGATGCACACGCATTGACTGAGACTTTATGCACTCGGACTTGTCCATCACCTGGGAAGTGTTGTGAAGCAATTCCCCTCCAGGACAGCAGAGGGCGTAGCACTTTCCTGTGGTTTCATGCCAAACATTGCACTCATGTATCCAGTCCACGATAGTGTATTTAATAATGTGTTTATATATTTTAGAGACTTTATAACATGAACAACTTTGTCTTTCATCTCTAATCCAATGTTTCCCGTCATTTCCATCGATGAATAAAACGCTAGCTCCGTATTTTGTACTCCAGTCACAAATGAATAAATGTTCATATTTTCAGACTTTTTCCACGATGTGTTCCTCAATCTGTTTGTGTTTGCTGCTTAATATCTTTCTCAACAATAACGCAGACGTAGAAGTATAAATTAGGGGTGTATCTCCATGCCAAAGGATGTCTTGTTCCCACCCCAGTTGCCTAGGAGATACGTCATCAGGAACCGCCAAGACGCGTTCCAATGTTCATGTTCTACCGAGCCGTCTCTTCTCCGTTTGTTAGCCATTTAGCTAGCTGAGCAAGGACACACAGGAGGTGTCTTGTAGCCTAGCCTTGGTCAAAAATTTCCCAGAATACACCGCAGTGTTTTCAAAAGGATGGTGGATCAGAAGCTGGCAGCTACTTTTGGGGCAAATTTCAAGTCCATCCATCCCTCCGTTTTCATCCCCTTATCCGCAGTCGGGTCGCGGGGGCAGTAGCCTAAGTCGAGAGGCCCAGACTTCCCTCTCCCCAGCCGCTTGGGCCAGCTCCTCCGGGGAAATCCCAAGGTGTTCCCTGGCCAAGTGAGAGACATGGTCCCTCCACCATGTCCTGGGTCTACCTTTAGGTCTCCTCCCGGTTGGACGTGCCCGGAAAACCTCACCAGGGAGGCGTCCAGGAGGCATCCTGACCAGATGCCCGAGCCACATCAACTGGCTCCTCTCAATGGAAGGAGCAGCAAATCTAATCCGAGCCCCTCCTGGATGACTGAGCTTCTCACCCTATCTCTAAGGGAGAGCCTAGACACTCTTCGGAGAAAACTCACGCTCCGGGTGAGGACGTTTAAAATTAAGTCAACTAATTTAAAATGTTTTTTTTTTTTTAGATTCAAAGAAGTTATCTATGGCTGGCTGGTTGCTTAGTAGTTGCAGCTTCAGTGGCCACTGGGTAGTAACTCGCTTACATAGTTAATTTAGCAAATATTTACACAATTAAAAAGTAAAAAGCTCATTATATATTTATATTCCAACTTATATGTGTAAAATATAACGTTACCTACCGTGTCACGTGACATTACGTGACTGCTGTGGAAGCTGCGGTCACGTGATGCAAGTCTGTTCCATTTAACCCTCTTAGGCTCAAAATTTATTTTGATAAAAGGATGAACAACTAAGTCCTTGCTTCAGGGGTACTTCTGAGTTAAAAAATGCTCATGAAATATGTAAGTGGAGTAACCAGGTAGGTGGGTTTTAACGTTGCAAATCTGCAACGCCTGCCTCCAGAGGGTTAACTGTTTTCTTTGACCAAGGAAGGACAGTTCAAGGCAGCTATTCAAGTTCGGGCCTCGAGGGTCGGTATCCAGCATGTTTTAGTGGTTTTTCTGGCCTAACACACTAGCCTCGATGGTTGAGTTACCTGCGCAGCAGCTCATCAGGCTCTGCAGAAGCCTGTTAGTCACCTGCTGATTGAAATCAGGTGTGTTGAAGCAGGGTTAAAACTAAAACGTGCTGGATACCGGCCCTCGAGGCCCGGAATTGAGTAGCCCTGATCTAGTGGTTGTACCCCACCAACCTGGGAATCTATCCAGTCTGTGTTCTCTACTGTGGCCCTAGTAGAATATTCCAGTACTACATGTAGTGTAGCATCAATGTGAACAAGATGCATCCTGCTGCCAGCATGAGTTTAAGAGCAAGTACATTTTCGGTCTATAAGTTGTGGCCTTCAGCTCGGCTTCTTCCAAAAAGGAAGGAGTGGGGGTGCAAGAGCTATAGCCATTAAAATGTCAAAATCTCCTCCTCCGCTCCTTGATTACACCAAGCAATGGATCACAGCTTTAAGCGTATTTGTTAAGAAACCAAAACTTTTCTTCTGAGAATCAAATGCTGAACTGCAAATGAATTAAAACACAACCAAATCCAAACAAACCCTGTAGAGATCCTAATAAAGCCTGAAGGATACCGGACTTTCAAACAAAACTGTTGCACTTTGAACAAAGCCAGCCTTTACTTTAGTATTTTTTTTTCTTACATTAGTGTTTACAGGATGTTTTCAACAAGCTGTTAACAGGTCTCACCAACAGTAGGTCGTGTTTAACTATTTCTGCATTTCAGCTTGTTTTTGTTCACATGAAAGGAAACATTCAGCAACATGAAAGTGCTTTTAGTTCTGGATTTCATTTCTGCGTTAAATAATCCAACCAGGGTAGGATGGAATTAAGCAACATAGAGAAAAGGGATGATGAGCAGAACAAATGCTGGAACTTTAACCTTTCAGATGTTTGTAATAAATGACCAAATATCTGTTGCAATAATAAACAATAAAAAAAGATGGATGAGTGAGAACAGAAAGAGAGTTCTTAAACGTCCTGATGACCAACCAGAGAGAATCCCACACTTCCATCCACACGGTGTCTTAATAATATACACAAAAAACACACAAAACATCAGGTCATGGTTATGAGTCCTCTCAGAAACACCAAGGGAGAAAACAACAATGACTAGAGGGATATTTGCCCATTTTGAACACAACCATCCACACAGAAACTGCACTGTGAGATGAGAGATTATTGCTGATATGCTAATAATAGATCTGCTCGCTGTCTCAGACTTCACATGTCACCACTGTTGCTGCTGCAGAAGGAAGCAGGAAAAACTAAGCAGCTGCTGCAGCTTTTCGCTTCCACTTGGACTTAAACAGATAACTCTGTGTGCATTACAAAATAAATAAAACACCATTATTGTGGTTTAAAACCACGCCTGACTATTCACCCT